TATGTGTAAGGATCTTTTCCCATGTATAAAAATCAACAAATTTGAGGAAAAGTTTTAATAATTATTACCCCCTTTTAGTCTTCTCTAATTCTTGCCTTATTGTTCTTCGCTCTCTTTTTTATTATTATTTTTCTGCAAGAAGAAAATAAAAATAAGAGTTAAATTTTTTTATGTACTCTAAGAGAAAAATAAAAAATATCAAATATTATGTAATACATCTCCAAAAATGGTGCCAAATTTTGACATGAATTAGTTATTGTAGAATAAATCACATAAATTTAAAATTTATAAAACTTGAAAATACTAATTTTAGTTATTTAAAAATATTTCTGAAAAGTATATCAATTATAATTCAATAAAATTTCTAAAAATAGCAAATGTTCTCCAAGTCGATCACAAGAATGTAATATAACATTGGATAATGTTTCATAATTTTTCTCAAAGAATACAATTTTTTATAAATTTTAGATGATGAAGTGAAAATAAAATATATTTAAAATTCAGGAAAAAGGAAAATAAGAGTGCAGATAACAAGATGACGTTAATGCTCGATGATATTAAAAATGATAAAATAGAGTTCCAACATCACAGTGGTGATACATTGGCGATGTGTCAAAATCTTGAGTGTTTAGGAAGATTGTTGTGCAATGTCCACAACCTTGAAGGCTCTCCTTGGACAAGGACAACATGAGTAATTTTTAGATCTTCTTGTGAAGTCTAAAATTAATGAAATAAGTCATTATATTATGTCTAGTTGCTATCACCCAGTAGAGCAGAAAATGACAACTTTGTGTCTCTTTGGCGACTATCACGCAACAAAAATGAGTTGGATGAAGGTAGAGCGCATATTAGGAAGCTTCATCCTCATGTCCGCATAGAGGAGGCTATTCATCACATATAGTACGCTCTCAAGATATGGCGACTTGTCTCCTGACAGATTGTCCTCTTCCTAATGACGACTTGTTCGTCAATCAATCAAAGACGCACACGTGCCTCCTATCGATCCATCCTTAGTTGCTCAAGCCCTTGCTTGTGGCTCTACCTGACTATGCTTTTGACTCACTTGCAGGCCTGACTGGCTGGGGGGTTCCTCTCTTTTTCTATCTTTTTGTTTTACTTTATTTTTCTTCATTTATCTCAAAAAATAAGATTATTAAAATTATAAATTCACAAAAATTACATAATTAGCCAAAAATCACATTAATTGACTAAAAACTACTTTTCATAATTTAACATAAATATAAGTCTATTTATCATGAGTTAAGATTAAAAATAATTATTTATTAATTATTAACTCATGATAATGAAGACTTATCAATAGTGATAGCCCGAGACAGATAGAGTCCAAGAGGGGCCTCAAAAATTACAATGAATGAGGTCAAAAGGTGTTATAGATGAAATCTTGTCTCAACTCGAGTATGAACCACGACGGTATTTACCTAATTGACATAACTTGCACACAAACTTATTAAGAGAAAGTCAAGATAAGGTTTTTTGAAGTTTTTCAAAATAAAAGTGTCCCAAATAACAAGACCACAAAAGAGATGAAGTGACCGTAAAGGAAACAAAAAAAGCTTGAAAGCTAGAAGAATGTTCATCTGAAATTAGCATGTAGACATCTCGTTCATTCTCACACCCCAAACCAATCCTCCGTCCGGTATACAGATCCTAGAAGATACAATGAAAAGAAAAAAATGTAACGGAGCAAAGAATGGCTCGAGTAATGTCAGTAATAGATAAGATATTAGCAAGAAATCCAAGAATATAGAGAACCTAGGTGAGAAGAATACTTAGGATAATGATGGTATTATCATGTCCATTGACTAGACAAGTTCAGTCATTGGTAATGTCACTAATAGATAAGAGGTTAACAAGAAATCTAAGAATATAGAGAACCTAGGTGAGAAGAATACTTAGGATAACAACAATATTACCATGTCTATTGACTAGACAAGTCGAGCCATCGATAATGTCACTAATAGATAAGAGGTTAACAAGAAATGTAAGAATATAGAGAACCTGGGTGAGAAGAATACTTAGGATAACAACAGTATTACCATGTCCATTGACTAGACAAGTCTAGTCATTGGTAATGAAAATCGATTGATGATGAGGGGTAGACTAGTGTACCGATAAAATAGTGGGTGTGATAGTTATGTGGGTGGAGGCCTCCAAGTCAATAATCCATGGTGAAGATGAAGATACAAGGAGAACATGTGTATCTAATGTGAAAAGATTCAGAAGTGAGGCCAGATTGGCCGAGGAATGAGTCATGATATCACTAGAGCAGTGTAGTGCTTTATACTGGGTGGAGGTCAATGTCACCTGAAATATTGGAGATTGGACACTAGATGACGTCAAAGAAGTTGGTGAAAGAGGTAGGAGAGCTGGTTGGCCAAAGTTGGGCTTCTTGAACTATTTCCAATATTTGTCGAGTGGGTGATTTTACTTGCCACAGTAGATATATGGAGGAAAAGAATTGTGGCCCTTCCCTTGTGACAGACAACCATTGTCTAGTCTCAAAGTAGGAGGATCATGCGGTGCTCGAAGAGTGGAGACGACCATCACCAAAGGAGTAGATGTGCTACTAGCGATACCAAAAGGAGAGCCTACACTTACACAAAATGTAGTAAAGAAAATGTGAGAGATATTAAGTACCTAGTCTCCAAAGAGGATCCTCCCACAAATCTAAGAGGTAATTGATGGGTGAAGTCTACTTAGATAGACTCCAACAAGAAACTCCTGACGGTAGTACTAGAATGTCTGGAGGTCAATGGTCAGAGGCTAATAAATGATAAGTTCCTATATTAGGGTCTGGAGATGACAGAAATGAGCCTAAAGTGAGGAGTCGCCTTACTTGCAAATAAGAAGTGACTTGAAGATCTTGACTACATGACTAATATTCTTCTAATGACATACATATTCTCCAATGTCATCTAGAGTTGTTGCATAGGGTGAAGTCAAGCGGGAGACTCAGCAATACTCAGATCAATGCTTTGAAGTGTGTAGGTAAGGATGGCTCAATCGAGCTAAGACTATGAAGTAAAGGACGGGTTAGTGAGGCTAGGCGGATCAGTCGACAAGTGGTGAAAAAGGTTGTGCGACATCAAGAAGTGCTCAAATCTAGAGGCCCACGATGTATAATCATGTCTATTAAAGACATATGTCGGTTGAGTGAGTTGCGTCGTGATAGAGTGCTGTGGAGTAGCCAACCCAATCAGAGGAAGAGCGACAGTCAACTAAAGAATTGGCAGAGGAGGTGCTTGAGACATCAAGGATTCACCCACTAGATCCATAGATCAGGATTAGTGGGAGATGAGATGACATTGGGAGGGGACATCCCTAGAGCCATGTGAGGCGTCGGGAGGCAGCAAAGGGGCGGCGGTGGGGGCGGTAGCGGGAGGTGGCACATGCAGCACCTGTTGTCAGTGCAGGGGGAACCGATGGGAAATGGTGCCATCAGGTGTGCAAGATGACACAAGGCAAGCACCAAACAGGCACGCAGGTGCATGCAGCAAGAAGTACGGTAGGCATGTAGGGCTATACAAACCAAGCACTAGGTAGGCATGCAAGACAACACTATAGGAGATTGCATCGGGAGAGGATAGGTGACGTTGAGATAGGAGAAGAGGTAGAAACGTAGCGGCAAAGAAACCCTAAGGCACTAATACCATGTTGACAAGAGGAAGAGAAAACTTTAGAATTGATTTGAAGAAGAAAAGTACATGAGGTTATATAGAAGAAAATAAAGAGAGAGAGAGAGAGAGAGAGAAGAAGAAGAAGTGAAGATAGTGGAGGAAGAATAAGGACGTGAAGAGAACAAGTCCAAAATGGGCCTGGTGGGTCTAGTGAGCCTATTTTAAAATTTTATTGTGACATATTTTCTAAATAGAAATAATAAATTATTTTTTAAGCAATATGGTCATATATTTTCTAAGTTTGAGCCAAGTTTATTTTTCATGTCCTATCTCACAAAATTTATAAACATAAGCTCTCAAAATAATGAAATGTCATTGGCTGATCCTACCTTTAATACACTCCATAGGACTATAGATGAGGGTTAATATTATTTTTTATTTCTACTTTCTTTGATAGAATTAATGCTACTATAATTTTTCATAAGTAAAGTAACATTTATTGCAATATCATACCTTAAGGCTTATTTTCCTTTCTATCCAATTTCACTATTCTCTCAATCACTTCATATCAATGTGAAAGTTAGCCCTTAGGTAATGAATCCTCTATTTTTTCTTATTTATGACATTTCATTGGTATCACTATCATGCTCATTGAACATGTAAGTGATCTTGTGTCCTTTCAATTCCTTGAGATAACTTCATTTTCGACCATATTTCCATCCCTCAAGCAAACAACTACAACATGTTTTAGCTCACTTAATAAAATTCATAATGAAGTTGGGTTTTCTTTTGGAGATCTTGTGATGGTTGTGTCGCCCAAGAAATTCAGAATATCAAAACCACCTAGCTGCAAAGTTTAGCTCCTTGATGCATGAGAGAAAATTAGGTATAGTGACTATCGTCTCTCGTTTCTAAATATCTAACATATTCCGCTCTATACAATGATCATGTGAGTTGAAGGGCAAATTCTTTAGTCGTATGGCTAAAATCGTTCATCAGTCTCATGATATTTGGCCTTTCGCCAAATAGCAGGAGCATCCGGGATGTTCTGAACACGTTTTTAGTCATCAATCTCATTGTATTTGATATATAATTGAAAATAATAGGTTACCGTCGTCTTCCTACTTTCCTGTTTATCTCAACTTGTGGATGACGTGTCATCGGAATAATAATGCACCCTTATTCGCGGCCTAGGAGATCTGCGCACTCCTGTCTGCAGTCAGGCTTGCATCCACCACAAGGCGGAGCTTCTGCCATGGCACAGCCGTGGGAGGATGGGTACCAGATGACAAGTGGCCAGAAACATGAAGGAAAAAAACCACGTGGAGGAAGCTCCGAAGGAGAAGCAGACAAGAAACCCAGCTAGGGGATGGAGATGGCAGCGGAATCCCCCCACTCGGCTTCTGGACGGAAGGCCTTGAGGCCGTCGATGAGTCGGGTGAGATCGTTGTAGGCCGCACCCCCCTCCTTTACCGCCGCCCGTACCCTGGCGCGGTACCCGGCGGCCTGCTTCCTCAGTGCCTCCACCTCCTCGTCGGCGAAGCCCGGCGGGAGGAGCCGCGAGACCGTGCGCGCGATGGCGTCCCCCATGACGACCGCCTTGGCCGCCGCCTCCGGAAGGCTGCTCCTGTACCCGTCCCACATCCGCACGCCGACACGGAGAATGTTCACCACCAGCCTCTCGCTGATGAATTGCTCGTGTGCAAGCGGCCAGGTGATCATGGGCACGCCGGCGTAGAGACCCTCCGTCAGGGAGTTCCATCCCAGGTGGGTGACGAAGGCCCCCGTCGCCCGGTGGTTCAGGATCGCCATCTGAGGCACCCACCCCCTGACGACAAGGCCCTGGCCCCGGGTCCTCTCCTCGAAACCCTCCGGCAGCCAGTCCGCGCCGCCGCCGGCGAAGTCACTCTCCTTCAACGTCCACAGGAACGGGCGCCCCGAGGCCTCCAGCCCCCGCGCCATCTCCCAGTGCTGCTCCTTGCTAAAGAAGAGGAAGCTCCCGAAGCCCACAAACACCACCGAGGCCGTCTCCTGCGTCTCCAGCCAAGCCAAGCACTTGTCATCTCGATCCTCAAAATCATCTTTCTTCTCGGACAACAGCGCGTACGGGCCGACGAAGAACCCTCGTCGGCACTCTGTCCGCAGGAACTGGTCGCAGTAGGCCGGCTCCAGGTCGTAGGACGTGTTCAACACCGCGCCGAAACACTCCAGCGTCGATTTCCTCATAAACTCCATGTTCTCGGTGAGGTGACTCGCTATTCTGAGGTGGTTGGGGAGCTCCGACTTCACCATCTCCACCTTGTCGGGGACGTCGGGGACGAGAAACGGGGTGTTGTCCCCGTCGGCGAGGCCGGCGTATGGCTCGTGCTCCATCAGCCTCACGCTCACCACGAGAGGGAAGGCGCCGAACGGCAGGAACACCACCCGAGGGATACCCAGGTCCCTAGCGACGTAGGTCAGGCTCGCAAAGGAGCAGTCCGCCACGACGGCGTGGGGGCGGTGCTCCCGCAGGAGGCGCTCGTGGATTCCCTGGACGAGGTCCACCGCCCGGTTGATCTTCCACTCCTCCTCAGGCGGCGCCGACACGAGGTTCTCGACGCCTTCCGCGAGCCCCACCTCTGCGGAGGGGAAGGGGTAGTTAAGGATGCGGATGGGGAGCCCGGCGCTGGCTGCCCGCTCGACGGTCCGCTGGATGAGCGCCCCGTTGGCGGGGGTCACAACCATCGTGGCGTCAACCCCGCGGGCGGCGAACGCGCAGGCGAGGTCCGTCATGGGGTTCATGTGGCTGGGCACGAAGAAGGGGATGAAGAACACCTGCATTGGCCCCGGCATGGCGGCAGTGTAGAAGCTCACTGTGAACACCCGTGCTCAGCTGCAGAGATCTTAGCTCGACGGGGCGGTTTTTATTCTCAGTTCCGCCCTCGCTGGGGGGACCACGCGGCCATCTTAGATCCCGGCTTCCGATTTGATGAACACGTTCTACAGTAAAGTGTGCCACATGACATTGTCGAGTTCTGAACGCGTCATAAATATATTGGTACTTGATTGATGAATGAAAAGAATAGGTTGCCACACTAAATGAACACTTATTCCCAACCTGATAAATTGCCTCTTTCTCGAAGAGACGTGAATCAATGATGCCTCCATGTAATCTAGTCGAGTCAGACTAGAATAAAAACCTCCCGCCGGTTTCAGATCTGCCGCTTTCCAGATTTCCTTTTCTTTGGAGACTGCAGTCATAAGAAATAGAAAAAGCTGTTCCTCTCTAGGAACTCTCTAGGACTCCACAGACAGAGGCAGCTGTATGCCTCGGGAGAGTGACCCTCCCTAGGAAGTCCCTTGTGCGCACGTGAGGTAAAAATGTACCACCACGTGCCGCGAGCCACCACACCAGCTCCGAACCAAAGTGCCGCCAACGAAATATAAAAAGCTGTTCCGTCCAAGTATCGTGAGTCCCCTGTCTCGAAAAACCTCCGGGATGGGTAACCTTCTTAGAAGTTCGGTCCAAATACCAACTCCGATAAGTTCAGCCCAAATGGAAAGGCCCAAGAAAAAAAAATCATGGGTGAACATAAGCCATCTTGTCTTCAAACAACAGGCTGCCCAAGTTGCTTATAAATCACAGTTTCCTTTATTGCATGGGGAGCAACCCTTTGAGGAGCTAAGTAAGGCCCAATCTGTCAAAGCTGGTCTCAATCTCTGCATGAGTCATGAGTGCATAAGTCATTTCCCTCACTAATACAAAGTGAGGGTTCTTTGTCATACCTTATTGAGGGTTCTTCGTCACTTAGTCATACAAAATGACGGGCATCTCTGTGTTTCTCAATAGACATTTCATCAAGTATTAGGGGTGACGGGCATTGTGAAGTCCACAGTGTTGGCATTGAATGTGTAGGTGAGGTCCATCGTGGGTTTCATGTGGTTGGGAACAAAGTGGGGGATGAAGACTTTAGAGACAGCCTCAGATCAAAGCAGGGTGAGAGGGACAACTACCAAACCTATCTACTCATGCATGAGATGAAAGGAGAAGTTTAGAGCCAGAACAAGTGAAGTTTAGCTTATGTCCAACAAAATTAAGCCTATGTGAATTGCTGAGATTTTTGAGCTTCCATACCTTCAACAAGAGAATTCGTATTACATCATTGCTAGTATTGTAAACTAAACTGTGTAACAAATTTACATGATGCTTTGACATTTTCTTGAACTATTTGGTAAGCCAAAGTAATAAAGCAATTGAAAGAGTGATGCAACCATGATATAACCTGTAGTCGAGCAGCTCCAAGAGCCTGCATTTACTATCATAAGAGTGCACTCTCTCCTTTAACTACATTAATTCTCTCTAACATTACAACCACTAGATAGTCAAAGAGTTAGTTATTGGATATCTGATGATACTATAAAACCTAGCTGTCAAATAATTGGCAACCAGATTGTTCATTGCCATTTCATTTATTAACTAGATCACCATAATTGGATTTATTCAACCAAGTGATCACCATAATCTATTATGTATCTAATCTTTTAGAAGAGTTAATTGGATCACCATAATTGATTCACTGTTCTAATTATGTATCTAATGTGGTCTGCATGTCTCATCAGCTGAGCTGTTTTTATTTTATTTCTACTATTTTTTGACAATCAGAATAATTACTTAATAATATGTCACTTGATTAGATTTATTCAACCACTCTCCCAACTTTATTTGTCATCCTCATGTCCTTCACTCTTCCATTTAGCACTCATTTCACACCACATGCCAACCTGCTACTCTGCCCACATTTGGCTACATTTGCATGCCCCTACCCCCCCCCCCCCACACACACTCATTCTTTCAATTATGTATTGCCCTCCCCCGCCCCTACTTAAATAAAATTATTGGACATGTGTATTTAGACAAGGCATTATCGTGGATTTGAAAGTATTTTTCAATCTTATTGCTCTTTTTTAATCAGTTACAAGTTAAGAAGAAATAATTTTCTGTAATTTCATGGCAATTGTGTTATTTGTTGCAGTTGGAACATTAATATCCTTTGTCTAGAATTTTAAAATATTTTATCTTTACTTCTTTTTTTAATATGACCTCCTCCATCCTCCTCATCTTTTATAGACCTACATGCCCTCCCAACACTGTAGTCTAGCTGTAGCTTCCTAGCCACCATACAACTTAAGTTGTATTTTTCACATATTTCTAGTTAAAATTATAAATTAGTTTTTAATCAATATGGTCATATGTTTTATAAGTTTGAGCCAGGTTTACTTTTCATGTCCCATCTCATATAATTTATAAACATAAGCACTCAAAGTAGTGAATGACATTAGATGATCCTACCACTACTATACTTTAAAGGAATGTAGATGAGGGTTAACATTGATTTTTATTTCTACTTGCATAATTTGTCAAAAGTCAAGTAAAATTTATTACAATATCACACCTTATGGCTTCTTTCCTTCTCTACCCCTAGTCATCAATCTCATGGTACTTGGCCATTCACTAACTTGTAGGAAGGAGCATCTCAAATGTTCTTAACACGTTTTCTGTCATCAATCTCATTGTATTTAATATATGATTGAATGTAATATGTTACCCTTACCTTCTTACTTTTGTTTTTTATTTCAACTTGTGGACAACATGTCATTGAAATAATAATGCATCTTTATTTGTGGCCTTGGAGATCTGCACCTTTTTGTTAGTCTATCTCTCTTTATTTGTCTTGACAAAAGACACAATTGAGTCCACTACAAGGCAGTGAGAAGAGATAGGGCTGGAGGGCAAGGTCAACGGGGAGGGTGGGGATGGTGGGTGATGCACTTCTCGCAATAAAGAAACATATCTATAAGAGGGACCCCCTGCTGCATGTATGAGGCACTTTTTGTTATCAAGAATGTCAATTTCGGTCACACAAGGGTTTTTTGGAGACCAGATTGCCCAATGCTTGGTAAAGAATTCATACACAGTGACCAACTTCCTTATTACAATGGTATTAGAGCTGAGTTAAATATTCTACCCCTCTTCTTTTTCTTCAATATTGGTAGAATGCCATGGAGGCAAAAGGTAGAGTAGGTACGAGTGATCCTAAGGGCAAAGAATTGCCCAACTTGCTGAGCAGCAAGAAATTATGGCAAGAACCATTGAGGCCCATATAAACCAATTGTAGGCGGTCTATTAACTAGTGATAGTGAATTGAGGCGTGCACAGCCAAACTAGAGGGCATGCCTATGCTGCCATGAATGTAGTAGATGTATTATCTAGAAAATTTGATGAAAAGCTTTAATCTATATATGATCAAACATGAGAAATGGCTACATCTTATGTAGCCAAAAAAGGTAAAATCTCAATAGTATGGGTGGAATTTATCAAACAAATGGCTAAGCTACAACAACAAATGAAGGACGTTGTGATCAACCTCCATATTAGAATCAATAATCTCAAGAGACCACATGATCAAGGTTTGTAGTATGGACCATCTTGGGTCAAGGAACCTAGACCTAAGCCTTATCAAGAGAGTGAGATGCTATGTTGATTGAAAATTTTCTTTGAGATTTGCAACAGTATTTAAATGTGAGCACCTCTTCAGAGGAAGTGAAAGTTTTTCTTAACAACTTTTTCCTTAATAGGGAATACAAATACCTAGTGAAAACTACAATTTGAAGATCTATCAAGGCCAATTGAGACATGCTAGGATGAGCTGGGCAAGGAAATTTGGAATCAATTCTATCTAGTAAATTTTTAACAAGCAACCCAAACAGCGATGCAGCAACTAAAGGACACTAAGTCCATTCTAGAATATGTGAAGAAAAATTCCATGCTTGTATTAGAAGTACCTTAGATAGGTGATTGACGTGACTTAGTCGTTGTATAGTAAATCACACAAATTTAAAATTTCTAAAACTAGAAATTATGATTTTTTGGATATTTAGAAGTATTTCTAAAAAAATATATCAATTATAATTCAATAAACTTTCAAAAATAGCAGTAATTTTCCAAGCAATAATTTTCTAAGTCATAATTTTCCTCAAATGATACTATTTTCTATGAATTTTATACTAAAAAATGAAAAGGAAATATATTTAAAATTCACAAAAAAGAGAAATAAGGGTGCAAATGTCAAGATGATGTCAGCGCCTAGTGAATGCAAATCGAGCGAAAATAGAGTTTTGCCTGATGATTTAATTGATCAAATTAAGATCTATAAAAGTCAGAAGAATCGTAATTGAATGAAGTATATCTTGGTAAATTTAAATCACACAAATTATCACTAAATGAAGTAGAAATTAAGTTGAAAGCAAGAAAACAGAGTTCTAGCGTCGCAACGGTGATGCGTTAGCAATGCACCAGACTCCTGAGCGTTCAAAAGGATCGTCGTGTAGTGTCTACAGCCTTAAAGGCTCTCCTTGGACAAGGACCATGTGGGCAATCTCTAGATCTCCTTGCAAAGTCTAGAGATCAATGAAATGGGTTGTCGAATCGTCTCCGGCGGCTGTCACTCAACAGAGCAGAAAAATAGCGACTTTGCAACTCTCCGGCGACTGTCACCCGACGGAGAGGAGTTGGATGGAGGTGGGGCACGTGTCAGGGAGCTTCATCCTCAGGTCCATGTAGCAAGAGGAGGCTCTTCATCGTATCTAATACGCTCTCAGGAGGTGGCGACTCGTCTCTCGACGGATTGTCCTCTTTTCGACAACGGCTTATTCATCGATCAATCAAAGATACTTTACTCGATGGATTTGCGATCTTTTTATCATGAATTATTTAATAATTTTAGTAACAATACTCTACGAATCGCATTGACAAGATTTTCACTGATGATCTAGTGATTCTAGCAGCTTAATCC